TGCTCTTCAGATCTGCACTGCACAGAACTAATCAATATTAAGCCTCTGATGAAGCAGTTAAGTAAACGTCTCTCTCTATAAGTGGTGGAGTTGAGGGGTGATGCCCCACACCAGCAGACAGAAGAGATTCCCAGAAGCACAAATGTAGGGGGAGATGCCCTCATGAGTTCTCCCTTTCCATCAACTTCTTCCCAAGATGTCCCAACAGGAGTTTCTTGCAGGCCCACCTGGAAATGTTTGAGAACTTACTTCTATGTGCTGGTCTTCCTTAAGAGAGAAGAACATACCATAAATGAAAACAACAAACACACGCCCAGACCCCCAAAAGCATGATAAGAAAGCAAGAAAAGGGAGATGATGTTTCCAAAATAGTTCTTCTAATACTGATTTGGAATCAGTTAAACAAAAAAAAGTGTTTCTCCTGGCACTGGAATGCATTGGGATTAATACGATTAAGAGAACTAAAGGGCAAAATTCTTGGCAGATTTCTGCAGCTGGGTAATTAGGTACAGGAAGGGACATGCATAGTTTTCCATCCAGCTCTACAAAGTCCCAGTGCGAAGGTTGTTTTTTGCACATGTTTTTGAAAAAAGGGGAAAAGCCCGTTGATGTTAAAACTGGATTTGATGGTTAGCAATAATCATTGGAGTGTGGTGTTTCTGAACCCCAGCAGGACAAGCCCCTTTTATGTGTTCTCCATTTCAAAATCCATTTGATCTTGAAGGTCAGTTTGAGCCTTAATGGTGAGAGTTGGACTTTGACCTGAAAATTCACTTTCTGCTTCCAGAGGCGACTGGTGTAAACCATTGTTTTAACAAGATCGAGAAAAGGTGGTTTGTCCACATAGCCAGGTTACCGAGAATCCGAGAGGGAGCCACAAAAAGCCTCTTTTCAGTTTTCTTCCGGGTTATTTGGACTAGAAAGAAAATACAAAGAGCTCGACGCTCCTGCTCTTTAAAATGGTCCCATCAAAAGGTCCAGTTGGGTTACTTGCCAGCTCCGGTTCCAGGACTTATCCAGCATGGAGAGGTTTTGGCTCTGCCCTGTCCTTCATGGTTCTAGGGCAGGGGTAGGCAACCTTGGCTCTTTTATGACTCATGGACTTCAACTCCCAGAATTCCTGAGCCAGCCACGCTGAGGGGAAAGGGAGAGTTTCCAAGCTGAGCCGTGCTGGCTCAGGAATTCTGGGAGTTGAAGTCCACGAGTCATAAAAGAGCCAAGGTTGCCTACCCCTGGTCTAGGAGGCTCACCGCTTAGAACAGGAGGACTTAGGATAGGGGTAGGCAACCTTGGCTCTTTTATGACTCGTGGACTTCAACTCCCAGAATTCCTGAGCCAGCCACGCTGAGGGGAAAGGAAGAGGTTTCCAAACTGAGCTGTGCTGGCTCAGGAATTCTGGGAGTTGAAGTCCACGAGTCATAAAAGAGCCAAGGTGGCCTACCCCTGTTCTAGGGTCATCTAGTCCATTGTGAAATGGCCGCACCTATTTTGGGCACTTAATAAATGACCGTTCAAAGAGGTAAAGAAGGGGTGATGATGGGAACCCCCCCAAAAAGGCTTATTATTACGCCATTCAAAGAGAGCCAGTTTGGTGTTGTCCTTATGGCGTCAGGCTAGAAACCAGAGTTGTAGTTCTGCTTTAAGAACAAAGCCAGCTGGGTGACCCTGGGCCAGTCACTCTCTCTCGGCCCTGAAGAAGAAAGGAATGGCAAACCACTTCTGAAAAACCTTGCCAAGAGAACTTGTCCAGGCAATCAAAAATGATTAAATGAGGGGGAAAAACACCATTTAAAACATCCCCCAAATGGACGATAGGGTGGCCCATGTTCCCTCACCAGATTTTAGCAGGAGCCCCCCCCCAAGCAAGGGTTCAGAGTTGTGTGGGTTGGCGGAAAGAGAGAGCAAACCGATCCCAGGAATTGATCCCTGTGAGGAGATCGGGGCTTCTGAGAAGACCTGGTGGGATGGCAGGGCTCCTTTCTAAGCCCAACTGCCCAGCCAAATGAGGTGTGTGTGTGTGTGTGTGTGCTAATCCAATGATTGCACCCCAGGGAGAAGCAGCTGACAACCGACTGGGCATCTCTCTTTCCACAAGAGAAAATGAGAATTGTGCTCAAGGCCCAAAGCAGATTATCTCCAAATGCTTCATTTTGACAACAGTGCTATAATTTTAAACACATAACCATAGTAACATTTACTAAGTTCTATTGAAAGAAATCAAAGGCCTTTTCTCCTCCCCGTTTCAGTGGGGAGAGATAGAGAGAACTTTGTAGGGGGGGGGGTTTCTCGCATCGGTGTGGTGGAAATAATATATTTGTTCCAAGAATCGTTTGTTTGTCTTTGCTTAAACAAATGGAAATGCTTTGTGTGTTTTTTTCCCCCCTCTTTGTCTTTCGGTTGGACTTTTTGCAAAAAGGTATGCGGGATGGGGAGGGGAGTTAATGCCCATGCAGCCCTCTTATTGAACTCATATTGCTTTTTTTTTTTTTTCATTTTTCTTTTGGTTATTGCTTTTGCAGCTTTGAGTTAAAATCTAGTAAATGTAAAGAGAGCAGAGGATCGGGGTAAAAAAAATACAACCTTAGTGATGAGTTGGCTTTAAAATATCCCTTTAAAATAATCCTGAATAGTATTACAGACATTTTAGTAATGTGATTTAATGTGAATACACTGTTTATAAAATGGTTGCAAGGCCGAAAGGGGAGAGAGGGAGGGAGGGAGAGAGAGAGAGAGAGAGAGCGAGAGAGCAAGCATTCATTCACCACTTCTGGAGGCAGGTTGTTCCATTGGTTAATCAGGAAGTTTCTCCTTAGTTCTAGGTTGCTTCTCTCTTTGGTCAGTTTCCATCTGTTGCTTCTGCCTTCAGGTGCTTTGGAGAATAGCTTGACTCCCTCTTCTTTGGGGCAGCCCCTGAGATATTGGAACACTGCTATCATGTCCCCCCTCGTCCTTCTCTTCGTTAAACTAGACATACCCAATTCCAGCAACCGTTCCTTATATGTTTTAGCCTCCAGTCCCCTGATCATCTTTGTTGCTCTTCTCTGTACTCTTTCTAGAGTCTCAGCATCTTTTTTACATCGTGGTGACCAGAACTATATGCAGTATTCCAAGTGTGGCCTTACCAAGGCCTTGTAAAGTGGTATTAATACTTCACGTGATCTTGATTCTATCCCTCTGTTAATGCAGCCCAGCACTGAGTTGGCTTTTTTGGCAGCTGCAGCACATTGCTGGCTCATATTTAATTCTCAAGTAATACCAAAACACTGATAGGATTCACACCTCACAACGTGTCTACCTGGATTCAGTGTATAAATGGGGCATAGCACCCTCCCCTCGTTATGACTACCATACAGGGTCCAACGTCAAACTGTAGATCACATCGTGACTGTCTGAAAGCTGAGGGCGTACACCGGTCCGGTATCTGATTTTTTTTTTAAATATAAACTATGCTGCGCTTTAATGGTTAGATGACCTAGACCAGGGGTAGGCAACCTTGGCTCTTTTATGACTCGTGGACTTCAGCTCCCAGAATTTCTGAGTTCATGGTTCAGCTTGGAAACCTCTTCTTTTCCCCTCAGCATGGCTGGCTCAGGAATTCTGGGAGTTGAAGTCCACGCGTCATAAAAGAGCCAAGGTTGCCTACCCCTGACCTAGACATTGAACCTAGATCTTTTTAACGTTTATATTTTATTGTGCTTTAACTAATCTAGATGAAATGTTAATATATATTGCTAGTCCGTGTACAATATGCCATGTGCTAAATAAATAAAACTGACACACATATGTACATGCAGCTTGAGTACATCCTGGTATATTGGGGAAATGTGGTCTGAAATCTATGATATTACGGCCTCGTTTGGGGTGTGATGCACCAGCTCGTTACGAGGGTCAGGGCAGGATTCAGCAACGCCCTTCCCTATATATATAAGCAGTTTCTGCTCACAGGATGGAGAAAATCTTCATACTCACAGTTCTCATCTCTGTCTTTAAAATGACGGATGTCTTTTTCAGATTGGCTGGAGCTTAGCCACATATAAAAGGTTTAATTTGCATACAAGAATTCTTTAGAAATTCAGACTCAGCTTTCTCTGGGGTTTCGCCAGTACGGCAAGTTCAGATTAATAATTAAATTACCATTATTGTTAAAGCGTAATATTATCATTTCATATCCACATTCAAAGGACCCTGTTATTGTTAAGAGGTTGCTTATGCATTATTTATCTATTTATTCTATTTATCGTTAAAGAGAGCGGTTTACAGCAATCCCAAAACAAAAAATAAACAATTAAAATGCTCTTAGTAAGCAGCAGAATTGTTGTTGTTAGTTGCGAAGTCGTGTCCGACCCATCGCGACCCCGTGGACAACGTTCCTCCAGGCCTTCCTGTCCTCTACCATCTTCTGGAGTCCATTTAAGCTCACGCCTACTGCTTCAGTGACTCCATCCATCCCCCTCATTCTCTGTCGTCCCCTTCTTCTCTTGCCCTCCATCTTTCCCAACATCACTCCAGTGAGTCCTTCCTTCTCATTAGGTGGCCAAAGTACTTGAGTTTCAACTTCAGGATCTGGCCTTCTCAAGAGCAGTCAGGGTTGATCTCCTCTAGGACTGACCGGTTTGACCGCCTTGCAGTCCAGGGGACTCGCAGGAGTCTTCTCCAGCACCAGAGTTCAAAGGCCTCAGTTCTTTGGCCCTCAGCCTTTCTTATGGTCCAACTTTCACAGCCATACATTGCAACTGGGAAAACCACGGCCTTGACTATATGGACTTTTGTTGGCAGGGTGATGTCTCTGCTTTTCAAAATTTCAAAAATGGTAAAATTGATTCGTCACCAAATGCTTCAAGGGCTTCTTCCTTTTCTGTATTTAAAACCGAAACCTTTATTCCAATTTTTACTGAGGAAGCAGCTGATGGTTGGATGGATGGATGGATGGATGGATGGATGGATGGATTGATTCTCTGTCTGGGGACTCAGTAACTCTCTGCTCCCTTTTTCCTTCTCAGGCGAGGAGGAGGAAGACGTCAATGTGCTGATCCTCAGCTACCCCCAGTATTGCCGCTATCGCTCCATGCGGAAACGGATCCATGGCAAACCGTCCTCGGTGCAAGCAGACCAGTTCGTCTTAGCCCTGGGAGGCGTTGCAGCCATCGGTCAACGGTCCCAAATCCTCTACTGTCGCGACACGTTTGATCACCCCACACTTGTCGAAAATGAGAGCGTGTGTGATGAATTTGGTAAGTCCCTTCGCCTTTCCTTCTGTCTCAGGTTAAAAGGGTTGTCTGCAACCGCTCCCCATTTTGCAAGTGCGATTTCGTCACAATGGCTGTCAAAAAGCATTACTTTATTGAGAAGCCAATGAGGTGCCCAGAACTAATAGCCTTTATAGTTTAGTATCGACATCACCGGCAAAAGGCTCTTAGAAAAGCAGCATGTTTGTTGATGGATGTAGAAGACCCTCAGGGGCGCTTTTGGAAGCCTGTTTTGTGGTGTATTTTGTTCTTAGGCACAACTGCGCTGGGCCTCATTCTTCCAGGTTTGCTTATATACTTTGGGGTTTGCTGCACCTCCTTTACTCTTCCATTGCATGCCAGCAGAGAGATGCTGAGGTGTTTTCTAGCTCAAGATGGCTCCGGCTTATCATCAGAACATCAACCCTTGGTTTTAGAGCTCTTGAGTAATATGCTGTGGATGATAAGCTCTAAACCAGACATGTCAAACACAAGGCCCGGGGGCCGGATGCGGCCCGCGAAGTGGTTTCATGCGGTCCACGAAGCCATCCTGGAAACAGTGAGGGAACAGCCCCCGCTGCCTTGGCCCAGGCCCAGGCCGGCCGGGAGCCAATGTACAATTTTGTGGTGGCCATCTATGCTGAAACGCATTCAGTCTTAGCTCCACAAGGCCGTCTGGAAACAGCGAGGAGCCAGCCTCTGCCATGTTGGCCCTGCCCCCTGGGTGCATGCTGGGGAGGTGTCACCCTTTGTGAGGAATGAAGAAATGGACCATGCCTTGACGCTTGCCCCGGTCCCACCCCCTTCTGCCAGAGACCCCCAGATCTGTCCCACTCCTGCCCAGGCCCCCACAGGCACCCTTGACGCGAACGATGTAGAGCTGGCCATGCCCACCCAGTAGGCCACACCCACCCAGTAGGCCGCACTCACCACCCGGCCCCCCGAGGGCAACCACAGTGCTGATGCGGCCCTCAATGAAATTGAGTTTGACACCCCTGCTCTAAACTGCTTGCTCTGAAGGAGACTCACGAGCTCCAGTGCCCGAAGCGTTGATGGACATTGTAAAGCGAACGGCTCAGTTGGGGAGCTCAGTTCTAGCAGAGACCATATTGTTCCTACGGGATCAGTGTTAGCTTCATCAGGTTCCACAGTACATTTGCAGTCCCCCGATGTACATTGTGGAGTTTAGATGGGCTTCACAAAGAGATGTTTGCAGGGCACACTTGTGAATATAAAGCACCTCCCTACACAACATTAGAGTAGTGACATCCTTTACAACAGACGTGTCAAACTCGCGACGTCGCGCAACGTATCGGGACGATGTTGCCATTGCCGGCAATGGGGTGGGTGCGGCTTCCGGATGACGTGTCCGGCCTGCGGGCCGGCAGTTTGACACCCCTGCTTTACAAGATTCGCCTGGCTGTTTGGAAGGCTATCCTCAGCGGTCTCCAGGTGTGTTCAGAAACAGGAGATCAGCAGGCACTGTGCACCATGAACAAGGCACAGGAACAGCCCTTGAAGCACCTGGATGAGCTTTGCTAAGGATGCAGCTGCTTTTGCATTTCCGAGAGAGGAAATGCCTCCTTTGTGAAGGTCCTCTTTGGCACACTTTGCACAACCAAGGCCTTAACGCAGGGGTGTCAAACTCAATTTCACTGAGGGCCGCATCAGCATTGCGGTTGCCCTGGGAGGGGTGGCCTACTGGGTGGGGATGGATGGAGTGGGTGTGGCCTACTGGGTGGGCATGGCCAGCTCTACATCGTTCACGTCAAGGGTGCCTGTGGGGGCCTGGGCAGGAGTGGGACAGATCTGAGGGTCTCTGGCAGAAGGGTGTGGGACCGGGGCAAGCGCCAAGGCATGGTCCATTTCTTCATTCCTCCCAAAGGGTGACACCTCCCCAGCATGCACCCAGGGGGCGGGGCCGACGCCGCAGGGGCTGGTTCCTTGCTGTTTCTGGACGGCCTAGTGGAGCTAAGACTGAATGCGTTTCAGCATAGATGGCCACCACAAAATTGTACATTGGCTCTCGGCGGGCCTGGGCCAGGGCCAAGGCAGCGGTGGCCATTCCCTCACTGTTTCCAGGATGGCTTCACGAGCCACATGAAACCACTTCGCGGGCCACATCCGGCCCCTGGGCCTTGTGTTTGACATGTCTGTCCTACACGCTTTTTGGAGGTTGACAGAAATGGTGGAGAGTCTTCCATCCCTTGTCTTTCCGAGTTCTGTCTCTGGACCCTGCACAGGTTTAATTATTGGAGTAGGCTGTTTTTTTCTGAGGTTTTTTTTACCTGCGCTGCGTAAATCAGTATTTATTTACCATATCACTTTACAAATTAAATGACGTTCATAAATCTCTATAACGGGAAACCATTTGTATACGTGGGTGAAGACGAGGAGGAAATATATTTCTTATTCTGCTACCCGCTGCCCTGCTACGTATTTGACAAGAAATACGGCGTTTACATGGCTGGGGATAAGTGATGGTTTTAAAATGAGAATGTTTTAGAAGACGGTGAGAAAATAAAGATGAACACGATCAGAAATCCCATACCATGATCCCTTCAGATTCAGAAGGAAAACTGTTCAGTCAATTATGGGAGCTATAGATCTCGGTTACCTTCCTGCAAGGAAGTATATCTTGGTTTTGGAGAAAGGAAGAGTTCAGGGTTGAACTGGGGGGATCCTTGATGCTCTCTGAGCTTGGTAGTTTTCTTGCAAACGTTTTATGATCCAACTAGGGAACCTCATCCGTAAATGTGAGGTTTGCTGTCTGTTTATCTTGACTTCGATGATGCCCACAGTCCAAACGTTGTAAGGCCAGCACAAGACCTGTGATTTAATTTAAAGATGAATTAATTTTAACTAAAATGAAATATCATTTTGATAATGGCTCCTATGCATTCAATGGTGAAAAAAGGAAGGTTCTACATTTAGGCAAGAAAAACCAAATGCATAGGTACAGTATAGGGGGTACCTTGTTCAATAGTAGCAACTGTGAGAGGGACCTCGGAGTCCTAGTGGACAATCACTTAGATACGAGCCAGCTGTGTGCTGCAGCTGCCAAAAAAGCCAACACAGTGCTGGGCTGCATTAACAGAGGGATAGAATCAAGATCACGTGAAGTGTTAATACCACTTTACAAGGCCTTGGTAAGGCCACACTTGGAATACTGCATCCAGTTTTGGACACCACGATGTAAAAAAGATGCTGAGACTCCAGAAAGAGTACAGAGAAGAGCAACAAAGATGATTAGGGGACTGGAGGCTAAAGCATATAAGGAACAGTTGCTGGAATTGGGTATGTCTAGCTTAATGAAGAGAAGGACGAGAGGGAACATGATAGCAGTGTTCCAGTATCTCGGGCTGCCCCAAAGAAGAGGGAGTCAAGCTATTCTCCAAGGCGCCTGAAGGCAGGACAAGAAGCAACGGATGGAAACTAATTAAGGAGAGAAGCAACCTAGAACTAAGGAGAAACTTCCTGACAGAACAATTAACCAATGGAACAACCTGCCTCCAGAAGCGGTGAATGCTCCAACACTGGAAGTTTTTAAGAAGAAACTGGACGGCCATCTGTCGGAAATGATGTAGGGTTTCCTGCCTGAACAGGGGGTTGGACTCGATGACCTCCAAGGTCCCTTCCAACTTCATTATTATTATTATTATTATTATTATTATTATTATTATTATTATTATTATTACTACTACTACTATTACTACTACTACTACTACTACTATAGTAACTTCCCCATACAAGACATTAACAATTCCAGTTTGGTAAGGACTTTGGGGTAGATTTCAGTTGGGATGGAGGTTATTTGAGGGACCAGATTCCTGCAGAATCCACAAAGACAAGACAAAACGCCCTATTCAGTGGTGGGATTCAGCCGGTTCGCACCAGTTCGGCAGAACCGATAGCTAAATTTTTGTTGCCCGGGCCCAGAACGGACTTCCAGAAGCGGCATCCACACAGAGAACCGGTTGTTCACATATTTGAATCCCACCGCTGGCCCTCTTCCTTCATATTCAGGAACCCAGAACAAAACTATGATCAAGAAGCTCTAGTACCAGGGACAAATTGCATAATGGAAGGATGGCCAGAAAGTGCCTCTACCTGGCTTCTATCTTCTCCCCTGCTTAACGCTGGTTTCCTGAGCCAGAGTATCTCTCCCAAATAATTGCCAACCCATCCTGGGAATCTCCAGAAAGACCCATGGTGTCCCGGCTGTTTTGAAGATGTTTCTCCTCGTGTCATTTGTAATTTGAAAAAGGGACGTCAAGGCTCAGATGCCACGTTATCCTCCTTAAATCACCTACAAGGGTTGGCTGTACTTTGGCGTGGGGCAGCTGGTATCAAATACACAATTTAGCGATAGTTGGCTGACCCGTTTATTGTCTGATTGCGTAAACTCTGAGTTAGCTCACTTACTTGGGTATTTTGTAAATAGCAATATCTCTTTCTTTTCTTTCTTTCTATTTTTTTTTTTTTGAGGTTACAGTACAAAGACACATGTAGGCATCGTGTTCAATTCCCACTTCCAGAGCTGTGACAGAAAGTCAGAAATATTTATGTAGCATTGAAATATATATGCAACCAGCTAGCATACATTATTCAATATTAATAGGATCACAATTATTCTTTCTGCATCTGATCATCAACTTTTATAATGGTTCCACAAAGCAGACCCCTCTTCTGTCTTGCAGTGATGGTCGCCAACGACTACTGAGTTAACTGCTTTATACAAAAATGATACCAAGGTGGGTCTCTGTGGGTCTCTGGGTATTCAGTGTGTTGGTAAGTTTTCAGGTTGGGTTTTGCAAGTGCAGAGTTGTATCCAGAGAACTATTTCAGCCGTGGCTTTGCTGTCTCTGTCAAGGGAATAAAAATGCAATATATCCAACCTCAGGACTAGAGAGGGTAGATCCGTGCATGCTTTGAAAAAACTCAGAGGAAGGGGCTTCAGATGACGGACGGGCACAGACACAGCATTTCCCTGCTGCTCATTAAAG